GGGTAAGGTCATTCCTTCTCTGAACGGAAAATTGACCGGTATGTCGATTCGTGTGCCTACAACGGATGTGTCCGTTGTTGACCTGACTTGCTCTTTGGAGAAGGAGGCTACTTATGATCAGATCATGGAAGCGATTAAGAAGGCTGCTGACGGACCCTTGAAGGGCATCTTAGCTTACACTGATCATGATGCTGTATCTACCGATTTCATTCATGACAAGGCATCGTCCACTGTCGACATCAAAGCTGGCATTTCCCTCAATCCCACTTTCGTGAAGCTTATCTCTTGGTATGACAATGAGTGGGGTTATTCCAACAGACTCTGCGATCTCGCTGCCCACGTTGGCAAGACTTGCGGTTTCTAGAAATTTAATTTTTCCCGATTTTTGAGATAATTTCAGATAATATCAATGGCAAACGTGAGCAAGCTAGTACGTCCCACTAGCCGCCCCGGGGACAGCCAGTACCCGATTTTCGCTCCGCCAAATCGTTATTCAAGAGAACTTTGTTTTGGATTGTACAGACCATGGTCGCTAAACTTGGCATCAACGGTTTTGGACGTATCGGAAGGTTGGTGTTCCGTGCTTCGTTGGAGCATGAAGGCCTTGTCCCTGTTGCGATCAACGAACCCTTCATGGATCTTGAATATATGATGTACCAGCTCAAGTATGATACTGTCCATGGAAGATTCCCAGGCACCGTCGAGGCTAAGGGCGACAAGCTCGTGGTTAACGGCAAGGAGATTACTGTGTTCCGTGAGAAGGAGCCCTCCAACATTGCCTGGGCATCTGCTGGCGTTGACATAGTTTGCGAGTCTACTGGAATTTTCACTACTCAGGAACTTGCATCCAAGCATATCGCCGGAGGTGCGAAGAAGGTCATTATTTCGGCTCCTCCGAAGGATGCTGTCCCTATGTTTGTCATGGGTGTGAATCACACCGAGTACAAGACTGAGATCAACGTACTTTCTAACGCATCCTGCACCACCAATTGCTTGGCCCCGTTGGCTAAGGTGGTACACGAGGCTTTTGGTATTAAAGAGGGCCTGATGACCACCGTCCATTCCATGACTGCAAACCAGCTTACTGTCGACGGCCCTTCCCGTGGTGGTAAGGACTGGCGAGCCGGCAGAGCTGCTGGTGTCAACATCATCCCCTCGTCCACTGGAGCTGCTAAAGCTGTGGGTAAGGTCATTCCTTCTCTGAACGGAAAATTGACCGGTATGTCGATTCGTGTGCCTACAACGGATGTGTCCGTTGTTGACCTGACTTGCTCTTTGGAGAAGGAGGCTACTTATGATCAGATCATGGAAGCGATTAAGAAGGCTGCTGACGGACCCTTGAAGGGCATCTTAGCTTACACTGATCATGATGCTGTATCTACCGATTTCATTCATGACAAGGCATCGTCCACTGTCGACATCAAAGCTGGCATTTCCCTCAATCCCACTTTCGTGAAGCTTATCTCTTGGTATGACAATGAGTGGGGTTATTCCAACAGACTCTGCGATCTCGCTGCCCACGTTGGAAGACTTGCGGTTTCTAGAAATTTAATTTTTCCCGATTTTTGAGATAATTTCAGATAATATCAATGGCAAACGCGAGCAACCTACTAGGTCCCACCAGCCACCC